GGAAGGAAGCAATGAAGATGCACATCTCCCCTCCCAAACACCCATCTACTTACTGAAGTGCAGAGCTTCCTCCCAGGCACCTAGCATTGACTAAATGATGATGTGGTTGCCTTTGTTTCCAGAAGCTAAACCATCCAGTTGAAAGTGCCCCAAACCAAACCAGGGGAAGGTTTCCTGCCCTGCTGCCAGGAGTAGCAGCCCTCCCAGGCTCTAACTGCAGCTCAAGGTTAGTTTGTGTAGTCTACAGTAAATTCTGCCCTCTCAGGAGATTGCTTGGAAATAGAGATGCAAGGGAAAGACAATTGAACCCTTGATGAAAACATCAAGGCAAAACAGGGACTGAGTAAGCCGAAAGGAAGAAAATAAAATCATGAGGTTGATAAAACAGCACTTCAGATTTTAACTATTTTGTCTCATAAATTCCTGGTGTATTGCAGGCATCTTCCAAGCTCTCTCACTTTATTCAGAGCCCTGTGGGATGGTACATGTAACTGAATTCCCATTTATAACTGAAACCCAAAAACCCCATTTCACTCACCCTAGTGATAAACCCTATTTTTAACAGTGCCTTATTTCACTTTGACAAGCAGTGTTACATGCAGCACAAGAAGCTTGCAACTTTTACTTTTCAAGGCAGAAGAACACCTTCAGAAAGGAACTCTGCAGTGTGGTGGGAAAGGTATCACTCTCCCCAGATAAGCTTCTATTCCAGGAATGAATGTAATTTCAGGCAATGCAGCCTAACCCAATCTTAAAAAATGCAGCCTGATCTATGATGCTATCATCACCAACTTAGAGATCAGAAGCTGAACTACCTTAAACCACAGCTGAGATGCCCCAAAGATGGAGCACCTGAACATTTATTCCAGAGTTGCCATGCCACTGTAAGTTGTATTATCTCCTCACCTCTTAAGGCACAGACTGCCTGTTAACCTTTCAGTGATTAAGAAATTTTGTGTCCAGAGAAAGGAATGGAGCTGGGGAAGGGGCTGGAGCACCAGGAGCAGCTGAGGGAGCTGGAGGGAGCTCAGCCTTTGGAGAAAAGGAGGCTCAGGAGGGACTTTCTGGCTCTACACAACTCCCTGCCAGGAGGGGACAGCTTGGGGGGTGCAGGGCTCTTCTCCCAGGGTACAAGATGAGAGAGAACAGCCTCAAGCTGTGCCAGGGGAGGTTCAGGTTGATTATAGAAAATTTCTTGCCAAAAGGGTGGTCAGGCCCTGGCACAGGTTGCCCAGTGACATGGTGGAGTCACCATCTCTGAAAGTGTTCAGAAAGCTGTGGCACCTAGAGACATGGTTTAGTGGTGGGGGAATCCTGTCCCCCCTTCCCTCAGTCCCCAAATTTTGTTCCAGTGTTAGCACCTCAGTGACTCTTCCAACAGTGTCCAGACTGCTGTGATGGGGCAGAGTGCTCTCTATCACCTCTGCTTTCTGGACTGTCCAAAAACTCTGCTGCTTCCTACTTCGTCATGGCTGCACACAACCTGTATGAGGAAACAGCAAACTTGCTGAGCAGCAACTGAAAATTGCCCAAACCTTCTGACACAGATGCCACCTTAGAAAGCTCTGAGGAGCAACCAGACATGCCTGCAGTTTTACAGCTCTAGCTCAGAAGGAGGATTAACAAACTGAGAATAACTAACAGCCTCCACCTAAGCCAGAGTCACTGCACAAAGTACCTGACGACTCAGGAAGCAGTTCCTGCATTAGCACAGGCACCCAGCACCTGAAAACAAAGTCAACAGCAAGCACCAAGGTACTGCAGAGTACTTGTAAATGTAAATGACACAGGAGTTATTTCATGAGCAACTCACTTCTCCTTGGAACAGGCCAAAGGGAAACAGAGTAAATCATCAAAGGGCAGACAGAGGATAAACAATCTTTGCTGTCATCTTTTGTGAACCAGTCCTTGAAGACAAACAAGCATTGATATTATTACATTGGGAGACGCTTTCCCAACTAGAAGCAGCAGAATGTTTTTCCCTTAAGACTCAATTTTCATACAAGTTTACTCTTTGGTTTTATCTGTCACCCAGGAGACAGAGGAGCAGTTCATACCCATTTCCCACCACCTGCAAACACTGGAGAAGTTCAGCTGCCACCAACAGTTCATTTCACCAACGTTTCTTGATGATTTCTACGTGTTCACCCACATTTAACTAATCTCCCTTTCCATTCTGCATTAGACGCAAAATCATTGTCAAAAATAATTCAGTGAGCATAATCTAAGTTTATAATTGAAAATATGGGACTGATGTTCATCCAGGAACATTCTGCAGGCACTGAGGTAGACAAAATACAGCTGAAGTCACCCTACAGGCTCCAGACATGGGCTGTGGTGCAGGTCTGGTGCCTCCAAAGAGGGCAGTGACACAGGCTCTAGGCTCAAAAACATCACTTGTAATTTAAAAGGTTATTTTCAAAATATAGCTTTGTGGCTATAAATAGCCAAGCCAGCTTCTCACACACCAAGTACATAATGGGTCTTAGCCACAGTGGCCCAGATACCAGAGCAAGTGTAATTTTACCTTTGTGAACGCACACAATATTTGGGCCCACCCTGCGCTTCAAACAAACTAACCCGATTTATAAGATTGGTCTTAGGTTTTGTGGGAGCAGCTGCTGACTCTGACAAATTAACTCAATTGACTTGGTTAACCCTTTCACTACCTAAAAAGACCTGAATGCTCATCCAGAACAAGTCTCATACATTAAATTTTTTAACCAAAGAAAAATATTTTACCTGATCTTTCTGTCAAGAAAGCCAGCTTTTTTCAATGTGTAGGATTTCCTTCCTCATTGAGTGGCCATTTGGTTGAACAGGTACTAAACAAGAGCAGACTGTCATTACCATCTGCCCTGTAACAAAACATTGTGTTTCTAGTACTAAGAGAAGTTATTTAAATATCTTCACATGTATTACATCATTCCAGTTGTCAACCAGTGCTCTGGGGATCCCCAACCTAACTTTACCAGAGGTAGCATTATTCTCCAAGCAACATGAAAACAAATCTATTTTGATCAGGTTCAGAGAAAGGAACTCATAACAACCTCCCCAACCATGCTAATAAACATTTTCATCTGATAGAGGTTTACAGACTTGGGATACACAAGCACAACAAAACCTTTAGCAAAACAGCATTTGTTCCATTTGGGCGTGCAAGAACATCTTGTCACTCTTCAGCAAAACTGTTATTACATCCATGGGACATTGGAACAAAGTTTTTATTCCAATCACAGTAAGGTCACCCTCCCTTTCTGTCCAGTTTGTGAAGAAACACTTCATGTAAGCAGCTGGCTGGTACTGCCAACATCTGCTCCACCACTCACTCATCCAAGGTCTTCCAAGTATCGAGGCCTAGGTGTTACTGGTCAGTGTCACCCGATACTGGGCTCCTCCGGCACATATGATACAATTCTGTATCCTTTACGTACACAGAATTCAATTTGCAGCCTGCCTGTCAATATATGGCCCGCCACAGTCTCCAGGAGCATGACCTTGCTGAGCTCACTGCCTGCCATCAGAGTCCAGCACACTTCACCAGACACCTCACATTACCCACAGCAGCACGAGACCCTTCTGAGGGGGTCACAATCGATCCTGGCTGGAAATCCCTCATGAAGTCATCCCAACTCCACCATGTATCCACCTTAAATTCAGCCTTGGCTATCAAAATGCTTTGAATAACCAGCTTTTCAGTAGCTGGTTCTTACCAATGTCTGCAGGACTGGTTATTTATCTGATAATAAATATACATGTGCTGGACTAGAAGTTACTAACACAGGACAATTTATTTGCTGTTGCTATACCAAACTCCACAAATAACCAAGAAAAAGGCCCAGCCATTACAAGGCTCGCTGCTCTGCCAGCTGAAGCCTTATTCAACCTGACAGTCTGTAAGCTTGCATACTCTTTGCTTCACAACTTATTTTTGGAAGTCCAAGCCAAAAAGGAGTAAATCTTCCTGCCCCTTGTTCCCTGACAGCTGTGAGCCAGCAAGCTCCTGAACTACCTTGCACATGTCCCAAATGCTTCTGTAACATCAGCCCAGCAAAGAAGAAATCCTAATTAGCTCAAGAATTATCCTGCTATTTGTGCTGTTAACATGTTATTCTTTACAAACACATTACTTCCTGATGTTACTCCCAAACTGTGCCTTTTTCCTCCCTCCTGTTGCTACAGTAAATGCTTCATCTACACTATCTTGAACTAAGAAAATTTTGTTTCCGAAGCTGGCCTGGATCCAAATCAGATTCATTTCACTGACCAGATGGACCAATCTCTGACACTGATTTCACACACCCTGCTAAATTCTCAATCAGCCTTGCACAGCAACAGGTTTCCCAATATTCCAGGGAGGCAATTCTGCATGTTCCCTTGCCTTCCTGCTCATTTATACCAGAGCAGGAAAAGCTACAGACGGAATACAGCACATGTTTCTTGACAGTCAAGGCTTTACCACCACTCTGCAGCCAATTCCAGTGACCACTTTGTACCATCTTCACATTTGGATGAGTATAAATAGAATCTACGTTACTTATCGGCCATGCGGCCGCTCTCTGCCAAGGAGCAGTTTGGGGAGTTTCAAGGCAACTCTGATTAAACACAAGAACTGGCCAGACACTCCTGACCTTGCAAAATTCCCAGTCCTCCCGGGAAATTTTCCCGGCACTTCAGGAGATCCCAATCAAATCCTAAATTTTGAAAAAATTAATAAATTGGTCGCCTGGCCAGGTCCGAAGCCCTGCCAGCCCGCGTTTTATTTTGCTAATTAATCTACTTAATAACCCTGTGAGAAGTTGGTACATCCCACTGTCCGATGGGAAGCACCTCGGTCTGTGCTCTGCCACAGGCTGAACGCACCGGACGGGGCTCGGATCAAAGCGAACCGAAGCCTTTGTTTACCGACACCCCCGGCCGGGGCTGCCGGTACCACCGTGCCCCGCAGGCCGGTGCTGGCCGAGGGCACACACAGCCGGGCCGCCCCCCGGCCCTGGTACCTGGTGCAGGGCTGTCAGCCCGTCCACATTGGTGGTGTTGATGCGGGCGCCGCGGCCCAGCAGCCTCTTCACCTCCTCGGTGTCGCCGCTGGAGCAGGCGGCCAGGAACACGGCGCCCTCCTCGAAGCGGACGCGGGACCCCCCCGCGCCACGGTGCCGGCCGCGGCCGCCCCCCGCCGCCACCGGCTCCTGCTCGGTCAGGGAGCCCTTCCACCGCCGCAGCTGCTCGGCCCGCCGCAGCCGCGCCGACTCGGCCCGCTTCCCGCCCAGGTGCTCCGGTTCGGACATCGCCGCCGCCGCTCTGAGGGCCGCGCGGGGCCGCGCCGCGCTCAGCCCGGAGCGGGGCGCAGCGCCCCTGCCGCCATCTTCGCTACGCCGCGGCCGCCGCGCCCGCGCCGCGCGTGCCCCACGGCACCCCGGGACATGTAGTTCGGGCGGGGGCGGCGCCGCACCTGCCCCGGGGCGGCCGCGGCTCCCGGCGGCCCCCGCGCGGCGCCGCACCTGGGCGCGACCGGGACTACAACTCCCGGCGGCCCCCGCGCGTGGGCGCGGTCGGGCGCCATCGCTGTGGCTCCCCCGGGTCCCGCCCTCCCCTCAGAATCCCGGAAGCGCTGAGGGTGGGAAGGAGCTGCGGGATGATCGGGTCCAGCCTGGGCCCGATCGCCGGCCCCGAGCACCGAGTGCCACCTCCAGCCGTCCCTTCGGGGACTGCGACTCCACACTGCCCTTAGCCAGCCTCTTCCAATGCCTGACCGCCCTTTCCGGGAAGAAATTCTTACTGGTATCCAACCGAAACTTTCCCCGGGCACAGCTCGATGCCGTTTCCTCCTGTCCCTGTTCCCTGGGAGCAGAGCCCGACCTCTCCCGGCTGTCCCCTCCTGGCAGGGAGTTGTGCAGAGCCAGGAGGTTCCCCTGAGCCTCCTTTTCTCCAGGCTGAGCCCCCCCAGCTCCCTCAGCCCCTCCTGGGCTCCAGCCCCTTCCCAGCTCCGTTCCCTTCTGTGGGGTCTCGGGACAAATGTCCCGCTGCCATTGGGACATTCGGACAGAGGAGTGCGGAGCTCCCAGAGCGGCTCTGACCAGCAGCTGCACTCACACAAGTGGCTGATTTTATTGAGGAGATGCTGGAACCTGTAGATCTGCAAAGCAAGAACTAAGCAATAGTCTGTGTAAACTCTCTACCCCTGGCACAACTAACATAAAAAAAAAGTAAAAAAAAAAAAAAAAAGCACGATGTTCTGAAACATTCATGAAACTAAATTCATCCTCCTTGAAAAGCTCAGAAGGCAAAAAGGTTTTTCAGAACGTTGTCCAACTCCTCCTCCACACTAATACAGAATTTGTGCAAGGTTGCAGACATTAGAGAAGAAATATTATTTAAAAAATTGATTCTCTGGGCATTTAAAGAATCCCTGGGGAAAATAGCAGGGAACAAATATGTGTGATCGCATATATTTAATATTTCAATGTCACCTAATTAACCCCGAGCCCGGGAGGCGAGCTCGGACCTGCGGGGTCCAACTCCCCCGGCTGCTCCCTTCCAGCCGGCCCTGCTGTGGTGCTCAGGGTTTGGATGAGAAGTTTGGCTTGGCTTCCTTGAGCCTTCCCCGAGCCCCCTCTCGTGGCTGTGTGTCCGTCCCGTCCCGCTGAGCATCACCACAGCAGCTCAGTGCTCTCGGCCAAGGGGCTGCCCCTCTCCGTCAGGTTATTCTGCGGTACCCAACGGAGGATTTGCCTCAAATTGGTCACTGCCGGAATCTCAGGACGTCTACGCTGCTGAATGATCAGTGACAAATCCCCCCAGAGCAGACAGCATTTGCTCATTAGCCTTAAATCATCTCCAGCAGTTTTCAGCAAAGTTCCAGGGAAACCCCCAGGAGCTGTGTAGCCATGTGTCTGATAGCTCCAGCTGTTAACGGGGCCAGAACTTCTGACCTGAATTTCTGGTCTTTCTGGGGAGCACACAGAAGGAACACAACTGACATGGGCCCTCTGGAAAGGCAGAACTTCCATCTTGAGAGGATCCCCCGCTACCACAAGCCCAACTCTCCGCACCTCCATTCACTGTAGCCCAACAAATGCCAATGCCAGAGCACACAGATCCCACAGGATCCTTCCTTCCTTCCTAGGGCACTGTTTCAGCAGTGCCTGTGTGCAGCAGAAGCAGGGGGCAGAAGCCCAGAGCCACGGGGGAAGCTGAGCTCAGGGGAAGCTCCTGAAAAGTGCAGCTCCCAAGAGCCAGCTGAGACACAGCCTGCCCCATGTGGCACCTGCCCCACTCCCCCTGCCCTGAGAACATCCCACAGGGATCCCTTTCCCTCTTGTGCAGCTGCAACCCTGCAAAGCATCTTTTCAGGCTCCCCAGGCAAGGGGGAGCAGATGAACAGGTTCCCAGCTGGCTGCAGCCACAGCCTGGTTGCCTTTTCTTGCATTCAAACCAGCTCCCCCCTTGCAGATGCTCTGCACTTCTGCTCCAGCCTTGGCTTGGCACAGTCACAGCCTCTCCTCCCAAGAGAGACTTCAAGACCTCTTGGACAAGAGCTCCCTTCTGGCCAAGAATTTCAGTCCCCCCATTGCTTAAGCCTCCAGAGTGACAAGAAAATCAGGTTGAACATCATCATCACCATCATCATCATCTCTCACGTCTTTGGACCCTTTCAACCCTCTCTGTGCCTGCATTTCTCATCACTCCTTCCTGTGGAAAACAGCACTGGCAGCGTTCTCCCCGAGCCTGCTCTTTGGTATCTCAGGTTCAGAATGAGTTCCACAATCATCACACCTGGCCCTGAGAGGGAATCCCAAAAGCTGCTTGTTCCCCAGTTTCCCCCACAAACCAGCTCCACAGCAGTCTGCTGCTTGGCCATCAAAGAGAAGAACTTGAAACTCTTGACAGCTCATTCAGGAATCTTTAGATCCTTCCCTGAGTTCTTTCATTTCTAAACTACAGAATCCAAGGGAGGAGAAAGAAGGGGTTTTTCCCTTCTGTGGGAAGGGAATTCCCACCCTGTGCACATGCAAGCACGTCTGATGAACGGTGATCCAGCTCCAGGTCCCAAGCCATTGAGACCAGCTCAGAAGCCACTTAACTCCAGTGCACAGAAGATCTCCTCTTTCTTGCAGCTGATGAAGGAGGTGAGGCTGGGCAGAGAACTTTCTCTCACCACAGCTGCCTTGGGCAAGATGACAGCCTGAATGGACTGTGCCCAGCACATCTGGTGGAATTTTGCTGGAGCTCAGGGTCTCGGATGAGAAGAAATTCCTTTAGCTTGGTTGTTCGCCACAGGAGCTGCCAGTGCCATTTGGGCTGTGCCAAAGAGGGGCCATACTCCAGGCACCCAACCACATCCATGATCTGCTCCTGTGACAGTATCACCTCCAGCAGAGCTGCTTGCTCAAGCCACAGAATTCCTGGCATAATGTCTGACAAATGCTGCAAGGCCTGGCTGAGCTGTAACTCCCTGCAGACTCGGAAAAGCTCTAAGAGTTTGGGAATGTAGCCTTCCTTCTTCAATGTCAGCACCAGCTTTTCCCCGCAGCTGGCTGAGAGCAGAGGTGATCAGCTCAGCAGCCTCTGCCAGTCTGTGGGCCCTGCAGGGAGGAAGGTTGGTCCCAAGGCCAATTGCAGCCATTTATTTCTGGTGTTCCTCTGGTGGCTGCAGAAGATGTGGGGTGAATTTCAATGAAGGTCACACCAGCCAAAGGGCAGCAAGAGGGAAGAGAAGGGGAAGCATGAGGAAAGGCCATGCTGGGCTTGCCTCCTGTTGGCTCTGCCCCTGGAGCTGCTTCAGCTTCCTCTGGCTCTGGCCTTTATGATGTCACCTGCAGCAGGAGGCTTCCACTGCTCTGCTCCTTGACAAGCTGGCCTCTGCCAAAGGTCCTACACTCTGCTGTGGCCCCGATAACCAACTGCTGGGACTTGAGGCAGGAACTTGTAGATCTGAGGGGACACATCCCCATTACTGTGTGAAGCCAAGGAAGCCCTTCAGTCCTTTGGGAAATGAACCTGCAGAGGGTGAAACTGCCAGGTAGAACTGGGTCTGCTGGAGAAGCTGAGCCAGGCAGAGCAGAGGGTGCCAGCCCTTCCCAGTGCCACATCCCGCTGCGGTACCACATGAGCTGGTGCTGGGAGCTGTGGCAGTGCCTGCCTGGGCCTCAGGGAACCACAGAATCACAGGTCCTTGCAACTGGAAAAGCTCCCTGAGTCTGTCAAGTCCAACCATTGCTCCAGAGCTGCCACACTTAGCACTAAACCGTGTCCCTAAGTGCTACAGCTACATCGGTCACATGAAAAGGGATTTTTTTATACCGTTAGTGTGCACAGATTTACTTGACCCTTGTTTAATTTGTCTCAGTGCCCCAGAAAAGCCTTGTGCCCGAGCAGTGTGTCAGCATCCCGTTAGGGGGAGCCTGTGACAAACTGTGACAGGTTATAGTTGGAGGATTGTCTGTGATAGTAGCTGTCAGTGATAGGATTTGTCATTGGTAGGATCTGACTGCATAAACGTGTTCAAAGCAATCCCTGGACAAGCTCCAGTCCCCAGTTAAAGAATTCAGTGTGCACAGAGTGCAGTTCTTACCCAGGAGGTCCTGATGGGGAAGAAGGCAGGTTCAGCCCATTGACTGAGCCCAGCAGTAACTGTGGAGTCTTCCCTCACTCCTACCCCATTCTCAACTTACTTTTTATGTGGTTTCTTTTTGTTTAGGTGGAACTTGAGTGACTCAAGTCATGCAGACCTTTATGTGCAAAATTCTTTTGCTTTACTTTTAAAGATAATCACAAAAACCACCCCAGTGAGGGGTGGTTATACTTTGGTGGGGGTTACCTTTGGGATGGAGGGATATGTTAATGATACAATTAGGCTTTAGTGAACCACATTCATCAGAGAAGAGCATTTTCACCCCAGCTGTTGGTTCAGCAGCAGGGCATCTCCTCCTCCCTGCCCTGGCTGGTAGGTGCAGAGAATTTTCTCAGCTGCAAAGCACCATCGAGTTTTCTCTAATATCCAACCTTTACCTACCCTGGGCAACTTAAAGTTGCTTCCTCTTGTCCTGTCCCTTGTTCCCTGAGAGAAGAGACTGACCCTCCCCTGGCTATAAGTCCCTGAACAGAAAACTCGTGCTCTCCTGCACCCCTGGGCTCTGCTGGATGCTGTTGGGGAGATGGGAAAGCTGCAGTGGGTGAGAGGCAGAGGGACAGCCTCAGGCAGCCCCAGGTTACAGAGCCCAAGAGACACCACTCTGCCATGGGGGAGATACCGGGAGGTGAGCTGGGATTGGTTTTGGGCTCTCTG